CTTCGGTCCTTCTGCCTGCTCTGCTCCCCGCTCTGGCTCTGGTGAATTCTCTCACCCTCCCACGCTTCTGACTGTACCCAGTGCATGTATCAAACAAACAAACAAACAATAAATAAATAAATAAGACATGCCTCTAGAAAATTAAAAAAAAAAAAAATAATAATCATGATCTTTCCCCATCATGAATAATTCAAAACGCAGGTGGGGCTTATTTCTCATTGAAGTGAGAATATCCATATTGGACAGGGGTTGGTGGTGACAAGGGGATAATGAGTGACTGCATATTGGGGTCCTTTCAGGGAGAGGTGGTTATCTTTGGGAAGGCAGCCTGACATAAGTTGGCACTTGAGTGAAGTGAGTGGAACATATGCTCAGAGGAGCATGCCTACAAGATATGGGAGCCCAAGTGGGGTGGGGAGGGTGATCAGATTGGTTACTTACAGAGGAACTCAACATTAGGTAAATATATATCAAAGATAACAGGAGCCAGGTTGTGTATATCTAGCACCTGAACCTTATTACCTAAATACCAGCCTCTAAAAAGAACCAGGACTTCTTTTAGTAATGGACAATATCAAGGCTGAGGCAGGAAAAGTAGTTGATGAGTCTGGAACATCTTAAGATGAACTAAAATAAGCACACAAAAAATAATGAGTTTTGTCAAAAGGACACAGAAGCCAACTTGAAATAATTGCAAATGGTTAAATATAAAACAATTTAAGTATCTAAATCAATAGCAATTGATTCTAACCCTTTAAATAAAATAGTCCACAATAATAGAAATTAGTAAATAAAATGAAAGTGTAATGAGGAATAAGGTATTTGTACTTTCGAAATACCTCTTCATAAAGCACTTCTTAATTATGAAGAAGAAAGATGTAATTTTACATTGAAAGGTCTCATAGACACCACTTTTATGAAGCAATGTAAGTTAACACCAATAAGAGGTGTTATTTGGAGACACCTGATAACATGCAATGAAAAGAACGTAATGTCACTTCCATTATAGTCCTGCCAGAGTTGCAAAACCTAAATCTGATCATGAAGAAACAAAGCCAGAGAAACATCTAAAAAATATGACTTGTATTCTTCCCAAGTGTCAAAGTCTTGAAAAGTCAAAGAAAAACTAATGAAGTATTTCTCACTGAAGATGCCTACAGAGTTAGTTAGAACAACTAAATTTAAAAAGTAGGTCAGCAATGGATCCTACAAAGACATTGCTACAATTGTCAAAACCTGAGTGGTATCTGGGGCTTAGATGGGAATAATGTATTGCTGTTAGTTAATTTTCTGATTTTGATGATTCTGTTGTGGTTATGTAGGAGAATGTGCTTGTTTGCTAAAAGGAAAAATACACAGCGCACTTTGGAGGAATGATAATGTAGGGTAAGTAAAGTATCAGGCTTTTCTGCCCTCCCACCATTCGGACAAATGATAGATCTTTGCGGCCCTGAATGCATACCTGATGGCAGACACCCGGAGTAGGGTGTGGGCATGGGTTGGTGGGTACACCTGGGCCAAGGCCGGGGCTTATAAGGGTGGCGCAGTGGCATGCAGTGTGGTGGTGCGGTGTCGAGGACTGGGGAGTGCGGTGGAGAGTGACAGAGCGCAACTACAAAGGGCGGAGAGCATGAAGACAACGTCTGCTAGAACCATTAATGAACCTACCCGGTCTGGGTTGGTTGCATTACAGACGGGAAAACAGGTAAGTAACTTATTCTCAAATGATTAAGGAAAACAAAGTTATTTGCTATTCTTTTTTTGTAATTTTGAGGTTGTTTCAATAAGGATTAAAGAATGACATTCCACTTCTGAAAGCTCTTCAGTGATTTCTTGTTGCTCCTAGGAAAAAAGATCAAAATCCTGTATGAACTATGAACCAAAATGGACCATATATAAGACTTTGCATCATTTTGTCGTTGGTGTAGCCGCAGAAAGGCCACAGTGCAGGTTTTCTGTGATCCCAGCAGACAGGTAAAGGAGAGGTCCTGGAGCCCTTGGTGGTTTTCTCAGGGTTTTTTGTTTGTTTGTTTGTTTTTGTTTTTTTTTTTTTGTGGGACCCTTGCCAGTAGCCAGGGAACGAACCTGCGTTGCGGAGGCTGCAGGCAGCCTTGCAGCCCAGCGCTCAACCGCTGCGCCACCAGGGAAGGCCCTTTTTCAGGGTTTTATTGGACTTTTACAAGTAGTGCAGCAACCAGGTACAAGGCAGGCAGGCCAGGAGGCTGGCAGGCTTCCCAGCCTCCTGCGAGTCTTCACTCTTTCTGGACTCTCCAGCGTTCTCTTCTGGTCTCGTTCTCTCTCTTCTTTTTCATTCTCTCTTTCATTCTGCTGGTTCCCCATGACACCGCCCTTACAAGCCTAGTCTCATCCCAGGTGTGCCCACCTATGCATGCCCACACCTCACTCCAGGTGCCCGCCATCAGTCATATATTCAGAACCGCAGGGATCCATCATTAATCCTAATAGCAGGAGGGCAGAAAAGCCTGATAATCACTTACCCTACAGTCTGCTTTTCCAGTATTATAGACTTTGTTTCAGGCTCACTACATTCTGTTTCATACTCACTACGAACCATGTTCTTTTGAAGTACAAAGAAACACTTATTCCTTCTACCTAAAGCATTCAATTCCTTTTCCATGTACATTAAATGTATTTATTTATTGTAAATAAAGGTTATCTTTCCCAAACCTTTGCCCCTCAAGAAGTAGGTCAGTTCTCTAGTATTCCTGCTTACAGTATTATAATTCATAATTAGAGATGTGACCCCACTATCCTACTTCAGGGCAGAGCTTTATTTCTGCTCAGCACAGTATCCCCAGGATCTATCCCAGGGGACAATAAAAAAATTTTGATGAATAAATCAGCTGTTTAAGCTCAATCCATGTACCCCCGCCCCCGACTCTGTCCCTCTCTCCTAAATCTGCAAACTTTCCTCTCTTTTTTTGGCCCCTAATCAGCTTATAGACATGTTTAAGTCATCTAAATCAAAAACATTCCCTCTTTAATCTACATCCTGCATGAGTTGCACTATAGTTTTCCAATTTCTCTCCTCAGTGAAATTTTCAACAAATTTCAACAATACTTGCTATTTCCATTTCCTCATACAATCTTCAGTGCACTACAAGCTGGTTTCCATCCTTACCTCCCACCAAAATTGTGCTTGTTGAGGTGGCTATAACTTCCTGTCAGACTCAAGTTTTACTCAATACCTCACCTGAAGTACTATTAATTTCCTTAATGTTTATTTCCTTAATGTTTATTCTTTCTATGTATTTCTGATCATCTGCTTTTTTATTCTTCAATGAGCTCTTCCCTTTCAGTCCATTTCTCTAATTTGTTTCATTCAAAAAATATTCACTACCTACCAAATGTCTGGAACACCTGATACTTGTCACTCTGCACACTTTCTCTGCGTGATCTTATTCATACTAATGGGTCTGACTACTACAGATTAGTAGATAATTCTCTAATTTTTTTCCTCCTTGGAGTAATAAAGGAGCCTAGAAATAGATATACCTAAATCAGAACCCTTATCTTTTACCTAAAAAGATCCTCATGTAGTGAGTGGTAGTCAGGCACCTACACCAAAGGTTAACCTTAAATATTTACTCTCCTTTATCACCCATATCTAATCAGTCACTATTTCTTGCAAAATTTACTCTTTCCATAACATTCCATAACTATTTCTTTTTCTCTAGTCTTAACCTCCTTTATATTCACTCTCTAGTAGCTATGGGAATGATCTAAACTACATTTGTAGTTCTTACTTAAAAGCTTTAACTTTCTCACTGCCTAAAAGATAAAATCTGTTATGTTCTTCATAGCATAAAAACCCTTTGTGATCTGGCATCTTCATGATTTCCCTCCCACTTTTCTGTTTTGCCTCTCAATTTCCTTTCAGTGTGTGTGCGATGTCATGATTAATATTAGTCTCTGGAGCCAAGCTGCTTAGGTGGTGAAGCCATTCTGTCACATAATCATCTCAGTTTCCTCAACTATGAAATGGGTATAATAACAGTAAGTATCTTATAAGATTATTTGGAGGACTGAATTAATGTATGTGTGCTTAGTCAGTTTCTAATACATATATATAGTACATCAAACTTTCTCCCATTTCTGCCTTTGTTCATGCTACTTCATCTTTCCTCCAATATATTAGTTGGGCTGTGTATCGTAAATTAGTCATCAAATTTTTTACAAGCTGACACTGCGTATTACTATCCATGAAATCTTTACCAATTACAACTGATTTCATATTAGGATTGATGTTACAAGCAAGCATCTTCATTTTTTCTCTTTTAATGGTTGCAAATGTAACTACTTCAATTGTTCTAGGCATGCTGCCCCAGATAAAAAGGCAGTTTCTGTGCCATATCATTAGATGTAAAGGTGAGAGAGGTGTATGGCTAACTCCCCATTTTCTAAAGCTTGGAAGATTGGAAGCCAGGCAATACTATAATCAAAAATCGGTGCACACATGAAAATATTTTTATTCCTCCCAAGTTCCCTGTTACCTCTGCAATCCTTTAGCCTAATGCTGCAATCAAAGTCACTTCAGGAAAATGTACCTATTCACCAACCAGACAAACCTCTCTAGCCCAGCCTGCCTTTTAAGAACAGCATCACCAGAAAGCTGCAGGCTCACGCCCGCCCTGGGTTTTTCCCATCACCGAGGCAACGGGAGAGGAAGGGGCGGGGCTTCCGGGCCTTCCACCCCGCCCGCAGCGTGCGCTCCGGGATTGGTGCGGGGCGCCGGCTTGGCGGCTGCCGCTTGGGGTTAGAGTTGGGGTTGGAGCCGGAGCCAGAGCCGGATCCCGCGCGGACGGCCACGTCAACCTTATCTCTCCCGCCCAGCCCAAGCCGCTGCGCCCGCCCGCCCGCTTCCCGGTGGGGCCTCCGAGTCCCCGGTCCACGCCTTTCCCACAATGCCCCGCGCCAGGCCCCGCCCACTCCCCGTGGAGACGGGCGTCGGAGCCGGATCCGAGGGCAGCTGGCCGCGCGCCGTTGTCGCGCCGGTGCCGCCTGTTCGCCCCATCCGCAGCGAGCGTGGCGGCCTGCGCGGGGAGAGTGCGGGCCTCCTGGAGCGCGCACAGCTTGCACTCAGCCGGGCGGAGTCCGCCGCTGGCCACGGAGGATGGGGGAGTAGCTGCAGGAGGCGACCCTGCCACGACGAGGTGGGCACAGGCCGAGGCCGGGTCGGGCGTCCGCAGGAGCTGGCGCGACCCGGGCCCTCCGGGAGGGGAGGGGAGGGGAGGGGAGGACGGTCCGAGCGTCCTGTTGTGTTCTGGAGGGACCCCCCCCTACCACCCCATCTCCGTTTCTTCCACCCTATTACCTACTCCACACTTGCTCCGCCCAGCGGGTCCCGGCTTCTTGTAACAGTATCTTACTTTAACCTCATCAACTCTGCCTTTTTGCACCCCCGAGTCCAGCCTGAGACTGGGGACTCCACGAACGCACGTTTGACATTCTCTTTCCCCAAGGTCTTTCCATCTTTTTCTTCTCCCACATCCCGTTTCTGGAATGACGGCCACGAGAAAGTGTTCCCTTTGCACTCCCCTGCACTTGCCACCACCGGACCCTTCCTGGGCACCGACCTAGCCCAGCCCACCCACGCTGCTGCAGGTTACCACTGGGCAAGAAATACCACTGTAGCCTAAAAGGCGTTTGAGAATGTGCTCTCTCTCCTGTTTTTTTCTGGTCATTGTTTTCTAGACTGCTGGTTTGTTGATTCCCATCAGTACATTTTTTACAAAGGTTGCTTTTTTTGCTTTTTTTTTGTTTGGTGGCATGAAAAGGAGGGATTAGAAATGAGTCAGACCATTCACAGGTAAGCACAAATGTTTTGCGCACACACTTAGGACTGAATGAAGAAAAGGAGAGACAGAAGTTGCTAGGAAGATTGGCTTTTTCAAAGTAGTATGAGATATTTGAAACTAGTATATACGTTTAAATGTGATTGATGAAATTGAGGTTATTTTTATGCTACACCAATGAGATGTCTATAGAACTATTCCCTTTTCTGTTTCTTTTTCTATAGTTATACTAAATGCTAACTTTGCAATGAAATTACACTCGCAGTTATTTTATGTCAAATAGTCTCTACTGAGGTGTAAAGTAAGCACCTTCTGAGAAAACTCGAGGAAAATACAGCCCTTTTTAGTTGTCTATTTCAACACATTTTTGCAAGGGTTAGTTGAAAAATACAGCTCCTTTGGAAGGACACTATGGTTCTTTCAAGCTCCCTCAAAGGTTATTAACTGTCATTATAATCTGATAATGAAAACTGGGTAGCTTTAAAGCCGTGAAGAAGTAACCTGAAAGGAAGAGGTGTTTCAAAAAGGCAATGCTTAGCTGAGTAGAAAAAGGAAGGAAACAGCTTTTCTCCATCCTTGTGTTCTGGTGCTGATCAGAGCAAATCGTTGAGTTTCTTTTTAAAGTGTCCTAGCTAGCCACAACCACACTCATTACCCTTTGCCATTTATTTGCACTCTTGAGTGATCTAGCTACCTGGATATGGAAACCGTGTTGGGAACCCCCAAAGAATAATAGAGCATCAGCGCTCATTCACATTTACTGACTTTATTTTTTAATATTATTGCTGAGTTGTTGGTTTTTTGGGTTGTTTTGTTTTTAATTAAACTACCTGGTTTTTTCTCTTTAGATTAACATTTTGGGAGACACTTGTGATGCTTGATTCAATCTTGGAGTAATGTGGACAGAAGTTCTCAAACTTGCATATCACATCAGCTGGAACCTGCAGCGTGTCTTAATGTTCTCTTAAATTAGAACTTGTATAGGAAAAAGAATGGGAGTCTGGTTAAATAAAAATGACAATATCAGAGGCTTGAAAAGAGCGATTCTCTGTTTTGTAATAGTGTATATGGCTGTTGTGGTGGGTACAGAGCAAGATTTTTACAGTTTACTTGGAGTGTCCAAAACTGCAAGCAGTAGAGAAATAAGACAAGCTTTCAAAAAACTGGCATTGAAACTACATCCTGACAAAAACCCGGTAGGTAAAATTTGTTTTTAAGCATATCTGACAAATTTATTAAGTTTTGATAGGTACTAAAAAATAAATGTTCAAAATACTTACAAACAATCACATGTCAAAATCATAATTCATCTTCTGTAAGAAAAACAGAAGAAGCAAAAATTTTTTAGTTTAAGTGTGAAAGAATTCCAGAACCAAAAATGCAGCTCTACCTTAACTAATTTTCCATCATTTATTACAGATGTCATAGACTAGCCAAATTCAGTTAATTCCAAATATAAATATTTGATTACATATCCAATAATATGATATTTGAAAACTTAGTTTTAATTCTTTTGTAATTTAATTTTTCTTGACATTATTAAGACTGTTTTATTTTGATTGCATAAGCTGAGCTAGAGGTATTTCTCTAGAACTATCTTAGTTGGTAATCTTCCCCTGAGACCTACATTCTTTTACATTTAAAGTTTTTTTTTTTTTTTTTCAGATTTTATTTAAAATTTCAGAATGACTTTCCAAGTGAAAGTGATAGACCTTATAAAACTCAGTATTATTTATGTGAAAACATACTTCAAAAACCTCTCGAAACAATTGCAAGCATTTCCAATCCAGTTTTGAGTTGTTACTGATTTTAGTTCTTATTTAATTACCTAATCATTTGTATTACCTTTTTTTAAATTATGATTTTAATAATTGATTTTTTTTTTTTTTAGTAATTGTTTCAGGGATAACATAATAGTTACAAAGTTAAGAACTTGGTTTTTTTTTTTTCATTCACATTTCTTAGAATAACTTACATAGTTATTATATCTACAACTTTTTGAGGTATTCTCACTTGTTACACTTATTTTTAAGGTAGTAGTTCTTTAAAAATATTTCAACCCATAATATCTCATTTCATATTGTATTATTCCTTATTTTGGTATTCTCCCAGAACTCTCAGGATTAGATTGAATCTACATAGTTTCTGAAGAGATGTGATTATGTATCTGAAACAACTGTTATATCTAATATTTTTTAATAGAATAATCCAAATGCACATAGTGATTTTTTAAAAATAAATAGAGCATATGAAGTACTCAAAGATGAAGATCTGCGGAAAAAGTATGACAAATATGGTGAGAAGGGACTTGCAGATAATCAAGGAGGAGGCCAGTATGAAAGCTGGAATTATTATCGTTATGATTTTGGTAAGATATATAATATTCCTTATGAAACTCTTGTGGGGTGTTTTTTTTTTTTGAGCAAATTTAGAAAGTTAATTTTGTTTCACTTCTTAATGTTTCACCCTGACTTTTTAATATAACATGATAGCAGAATCTAAAGTCAGCTGATATGTAACTGTCTGCACAGTTAGGAAGGTGTTTTAGTGAAATCTTAAATACTTTTAAAATAGACTTGCTAGTTAATTAGGAAATACTTACCTTAGAAGTTAAATATTGAAGTCTTTCAACATTTTTAAAGCATTGTACTTTGAAAAAAAAGCTAAAGTTTCAATTCAGTAGCAGTAACCAGAAATTTCATCCTTTTCATAAGGAACCCTTATTAATGACAGTTTAAAGTACTGATAGGAGTAAGAAAGAAATGAGTCTAGAGTAGAGGGAGAAAAGAAATTAAATAAAGGGAGGGGAAAATAAACACAGGTATCAAGGCAAAAGGGAATGTAAGATAAGCAATATTTCTCTTAGTTGTTAATTAGACTCAAGTACAGGCTAAGAATTAAAATATGCTTTTATGTTAGGCTAAATAAAATAAATTTATATCTGGGGTATTTGTTTCTTAAGAATTTTCAAAATAGTAGTTCAAGTCTATTCACTACATCTTGATAGTCTCTGTCAGTTGTCAGCAATCTACATTGCACAGGCTACATGTGATTTGCCCCAATAAAGTTTTATTGGGATGCATTTATGCTTATTTACACATTGTCCATGACATTTTTTTTTTTTTTGACACTTCGGGGGTAAAATTGAGTAGCTCTGACAAAAACCATATATCCCACAAAGTTTAAAATACCAGCTAGGCCATACAGAAAAAATTTACTGACCCCTAGTCTGTATCTGTCAATAATAATATTTGGATGTTTTAATAGAATGAGACATTTTCTCACATGGTTTTAAGGTAGATAAAATTATATATTTACTAAATGAGTTTGTGTCTACCTGTGTAAAATTCAAATTATAAAACTTTGAGCAGTAGAAAACAGTTCAAAATAATACAACATAATCTGAAAAATGAGTGCGGTCTCTAGTTAGCAGTAATGTACATGTACCAGTTTCCTAGTTTTAAAGTGTTTGCTAAAACTACATAATATGTTATCATTAGGGAAAGTCTAGTGAAGAGTGCGTGGGAATCTACTATTTTTATAATTTTCTATAATTATTCAAAATATAAAGTTAATAATTATATAATTTTTGTGGAAATGAAATTAGAATTCTGGGAACACATACACATGACAGTTCATATGAGGAGACTATTATCTTTTGATCATTTTTTTTTCTTTTGATCATTCTTTAAATGTATTGTCAATGGTATTACTTACTCTTGGTTTTTCTCTTAGTTTGTAGTATATTTTTTAACTGTGAGGTTTAGTATTGCAATTGTTGATTAAAATGAAAGTAACATGTGGTAATTTAAATTTATGGTGATTTAACTTTGTATTTTATGTACTTTTAAAACTAGGTATTTATGATGATGATCCTGAAATCATAACATTGGATAGAAGAGAATTTGGTATGTGTGCATATGACTTTTAAAACTAGTCCAAGAGCATTCTCTTACAAAACCCTTGAGATTAATATATTTAGATTTAGAAATTTTTTAGATTTTTAACAAGGTAATATCGTTTATACTGTATTATTAAACAGTTCTTAACAAAGTATGTTCTTACAGAAATGTGTAAGTATGTATTCTAAATAAAAGGTGTAAAAATAATACATAGCAATGTTTCAGTTCAGGACAGGTTTGGATGCCAGGTAAACTTTATACCAACTTGCAAAAAATATTCTAGTTCCAGAGCTTTTGGATTCCAGTTTTAGATAAGTGTATGATTATTTCAGAAATAGATTGTTTGATTTGTGACTTATATAAAAAAGAATACAAAAGACACAGATCTCTCACTTTTCCATTGTATTTTAGAACATGTTAAATGCTGGATTAGCTAGCTTCTCATTCTTTCAAATTTTGTACAGATATAATACAATATATTTTTTTTTCTACTTCAAACCAATATATTTTACCCGAAATCAAATTTCTGTTTTACTTTGCTATATTACAATTTAATTTAGAAAACTAAAGTAGCATATTAGCTGATATATATAGTATATTTTTCATGTTACTGTAAGAGATATGTATCAGTGACTGATTTTTGTTCAGTTTCCTTTAAAGGGAGAATTACATTTTGTTCTTATTTTCTTCATGTTGGTGAGCGCAGACTAAGTAGCTATTCAATACATTACTTTGTTAAAAAGTCTTGTACATAAATATTTGGACAAGTAAAATAAATAGAAAACATAACTTCCCTATAAAGGAAGTGGAGAAAAATTTGAATCATTTGGGATACTAGCAGACAGAATACCCATTTCACAATCTGAAAGAATCCTAACTTTATTGCGTTTAGCTATATGAAATTATAGCTCTTCCTCTGTGGTTAATTACTATCTATTAGTAAGTGTTTTGTGGACCATTGAGGCAGAAAAGCTTGGAATTAGAGATAGAATTGGAGGAACAAAACAAAACCTACAAGCTAACTAATCCATGAGTTCACCCAGAATCAGAGACTTTTCCTGATGGCTATATTACACATGAGTTCAAACTTTTTCAGATGTGTCACCATTGGAGAAAAGTTTAAGAATTGCTAGTAGTTCGTAAAGAGCCCTAAATGGTAGTTTAGGGTTTAGCTTGATGGATAATTGCCATCATTCCAGCTGATCTTTAAAACTCCCCTCTGTATTACTAGCCTAAAACAAACTGATGATGAAATTTAATTGAAGAAGCTGAGGGAAGATAGGCAGCACAGATAAAACTATCATTTGGTCTTACTAAAATGCCACCTTAACCTACTTGGTTGTGGGTCTCTGTTACCAATTATTTCTGTTGGTTTAAGTCTTGTCTTTAGTATAACTAATTATATACGTAATTACAGTTATTTTAAAGTCATATATGTTCACTGCCTCCAGAGATGAATTCTGTTTTCTTCTGACAAGGGTCACTAACAATCTCAGATCAGATTTATCCAAACAGATGAAATGATTCAAAAGCTTGAACTTTAGACTTTGAGAGGACTGGTCACTTTCCAGTTCTTTATTTCTCTGGGTCCTTATATCTGCCCTTAACTCTAGTTATGTCTCTCTCAGCTCAATCTATTGAATGCTCTGCTCAGTTCTTGCGTATCAACTACCTCATCTATAATTGACAAACATTGCCCTTTGATTTCCATCTTCTCCCTTACCTTGACCCCTTAATTCTTCTCTGCATTGATAACATGATGCTTTCAACAGAATTCTATATTTTGTCCAGTTTTACATCTGTAATGAGAGAGTTAGTCCAAAGTACTTAGTTCTCTCTTATCAGGAGTGGAACTTTGGAATATTCAACTATAGTCTAAGAGACAAAATGTGAATAAACTTCACTTTGTAAGCTTTAAAACAATTTCTCATCCTTCCCATTCAACATGTTGCATAATCTCTTTTTAAATGTCACAGAAAAGTGACATTATAAAGAAGTTCTAAATTATAGGTCAGACTCATGCTTGTTGTTGTCAATAGTACCCACACAATATGAGCATCCTTTTGAAGACAAGTTTGAGAAGTTAAAGACAGATTCAAAGTAACTTTCCCCTTTTTCTTGCATTTTCTAGTTGAAGAAGTTAGCTACAGTTACATAGAAATAAACAGACATTAGTTGTGGTTGTGTATTTTAAAAGCTGAAAATTGCATCTTGAAATATATTCCTCAGAAGCATTCTGAGAAACTTTCAGAATGTTTGCAGAAACATTATGCAATAAGTAATTAGGATAATGATGTGGTTATTTACATAATAAAAGAAAAAAGCATAATTAGACAAGGCAGTACCGTTCATAATTCTTAAAAATTATTATGGACGACAGTGCATCATATGTAGGAACATTGCATTTACCTTTGATAACAATATTAAAAATATCTTTAACCTTATTCAACAATAGTGGAGCTGGGCACAAAGTTGAAGTGCTCTATGAAAACAGTAAAAAGATAGACATTTTTTCACTGTAAAGAAGATTTTGTGTGAAATAGGGGCATTTGTTTAAATCATATTTTTTAATTTTATGTAAATGCTGTTGTGTTTTCAGTCTATTTAAAATTTTTAATTGGTGTATAACACGATATGTTTCAGGGGATGTAGTTTCACACCTCTTAAAGATATATGACATCATACCCACCAGCAAGACAACCATAGTCCACCTTCATGCTCCATTAGGCTTACTCCCCATCACACACTCTTCCTCTGATAACCTCAATTCTGGGGTTTGTTTTGGTGTAATTGTGTCTGTTCCTTTGTTTTCTTTATATTCCACACATGAGTGAAATCATCCAGTATTTGTCTTTTTCCTTCTGATTTATTTTTTTTAACATAATCCCATCCAGTCCGAACTATGCTGCCCAAATGTGAAAATTTCATCTGATAGTTAAGGGGAGGGAGGGGTGTGTGTGTGTGTACCACGTCTTAATCCACTCATCTGTCATTGACACTTAATTTACCTCCTTAACTTGGCGATTGTAAATAGCGATACAATGAACATAGGCATGAATGTTTTTGCATTCTTCAGGTAGTTACCCAGGAGTGGAATTGCTGGGTCATATGTAGATCTATTAATATTTCGAGAAACCTACATACTCTTTTCCATAGGGGCTGGGCCAGTCTGCAATCCACCAACAGTTGTACATAATTTTTAACCCTTTGCACTCCGAACCATTCTGGACATTCGCTACCAATGTCCCCCAAGAGGGGACAGCAGAGTGCAAAGGGTTAGATTTATGAATAGTATCCAATTATGCTTTTTATTATATAAATAACCATTTCATTACTTATAGCTATTGAATTAATTCCATTTCTATTAAAATTTATACTAAATCTATTAAAAATTTACCTCAGTACCAGTTGGTAGTCTAAGTAAAGTTGGTTGTTATTTAGACCACTTAGGTAGAGTGATCTGTTTGCCAGACTTTTGAAACATTACCAAAGAACAGCTGATAATATCCTAAATTATATAGTTTGCCTGTAATATGCACATTTTCCCCCACAGATATGTCTTGTGATTGAAATATAAGTGAGCATTAAGTCTTATGTTTCTCGTTAACCCAAACCAGTAATACATATTTAGAATAGTGTGTGTGTTTTAGTGTCTTACTATGATTTATGAAGTTCTTATTTAAAAATTACTAACCATTGTTCTTGATATGGAATTATATGAAAACTTTTAACAAGTAAATTGTCTTCACTTTTTTGCCTTGGATATTAGTACACATCCTTACAGTGTTAGAACTTTTAAATGAATTTTGTTTACTTGCAAGTTTACCTTATAGATAGTAATGTATAATGTATTGTTGGCTAGAGATTATGTGGTGTGTAGATATATTGATTTAGCAAATAGGTATTCACTGCATTTTTAAAAACCTTGGTCTAATACTTTTCACGAACACAGCTTTTTAAGGTAAATGTCCTGTAAGCAAAGATTTATTTTAATCCCCAGTCCTTTCTATATCATGCAGTCTTCTATTTCATTCTTTCTGAATTTAAAGTAGCTGTCAGAATTTACATATTTAACCTATCCTACAGATGGTAGTAGAGCTTAAATTTCAGCCTCCTTTCACTACTTCTCTGTTTTTCTCACCCACACAAACACAGGAGGTTTATTTGTTGCTTTTTGCATCACATCTTTACATCTTCATGTTGTGTTTCTTATAGCTCAGGGCTGCTTCTTACTCAAGTACAGGTTTAGAGAGTTGTTCTTTGAAAAAGGCATTGTTAGGTTAACGGTTCTTTTGTTTTTTTCTGTTAAACATGTTTTCTTCATATATAGAAAATGATAAAGGCAATATGGTAGATAATATAACTTTCTGATCTCAAAATTTTAACTAAAATATACACTAATCTTTAGTAAATAATTTTCTTTCAATTTTTTGTCTTTTAGATGCTGCTGTTAATTCTGGAGAACTGTGGTTTGTGAACTTTTATTCCCCAGGATGTTCACACTGCCATGATTTAGCTCCTACGGTATATATTTTTTACATCCTACTTATTAAAGCATTATTATTCCTAATTGATGTGTTATTTGAAATTTTCTATTTTTTAATATGTTAGGATTTTTTCTCATAACATTGGTTCTGAAATAATTATCAAATACTTTCAGTATATATGGTTTTACTTATTTTAGAATGTAGCTTGAAGAATGTTTGAGGGGAGAAAAATTATAAAAGAAATACATATTTTTTTTTTTTTCATAGTGGAGAGACTTTGCTAAAGAAGTGGATGGATTACTTCGAATTGGAGCTGTTAACTGTGGCGATGACAGAATGCTTTGCCGAATGAAAGGAGTCAACAGTTATCCTAGCCTTTTCATTTTTAGGTCTGGAATGGTAAGAAGTTGTTAGCTTTTTTATTATAGCTTGTAAAACATTATAATTAGGGAAAACACAATATAGGAATTTTTGAAGTGTTCCAGGTCTTAGGTGCAATCTAACAAGGCTCTAGTCTTAATAAACATTTGAGATTATATTATGAATATTTTAGATATTACATGAGTGTGCTCCATTTCAGTATTAAACTTTTGCCAATTTCAGTTTCTCAGATAAATAACAACTAACATTTTTAATGTATTTTTTGGTTTACAAACATTTTATGGGTATTGACCTGTTGAATACACAGGAATAATATCCTTTTTCTTCCAAATTTTAGTACTAAAATTAAGACTTAAAAATATTAAAATATCTTCCACAGAATCAGCATCATTTAAGATTCTTAGCATATCATTTGAAAATATGCAGTGCTATTGCAAAATCTTAAGATTTTTTAACTAAAATATGCACAAATAATGTAGAGTCAAATGTACTTGCTGTTACTTTCATTGAATTTTGACAGTAAAAGATGTTTCTTTTTTTATTTAAAAAAATTAGGCTGCAATAAAATATCATGGTGACAGAACAAAAGAAAGTTTAGTGAGTTTCGCCATGCAGCATGTTAAAAGTACAGTGACAGAATTATGGACAGGTAATCTTATTTTCTTAATTTGCTTCATTTCTGTTCTCTTAAATTGGTGTTTTTTAGTGGTATTGTTAACATTTTGATCATAATTTTAAAATTTTAAAGTATTTCTTGCATATTTTTTACAAGGGAATTGTATCATTGGTTCAAATTTTTGCTAAATAGTGGGCATTTAACAAATGAATTATATTTATATGGAAGCAATTAAGATGTGGGAAATGGATATGAGATTGGAACAAATGAAAAGGCAACTTTAAAAGTGCAACTAATATTTAGTTGCTGTTAAAAGTACACTATATCAGTAAATTCATGCGTATTCAGATAATTTTAAGTTTAATAAGTCTTCTAATTTTCGTTTTTAATTCATCAATAATTTTAGGCAGTTTATTTAATTGCTCTTTACTATCCATGAAATGATCATATTCACATCTAAAAGAATATTCATGTCATTTTATCTGAATCATATGAAGCTGCAGTAATAAAAATGTCATACCTGTGTTGAAGGACCTCATTTTATCAAGGAAGATGATAGTAAACCACTAAAATCCAAGGTAGCAACTATCATAAATAAGCTTAGGAAACTAGAACTTAGGTGGGGAACAGAGGCAAGGCTAGAAAATACTTTTAGAATGAGATGAGACCCAATCTGTCATAAAAGTGAAGAGGGAGCTTTCAAAGATAACTGTATTTGGGAAACTGGCAGTAATGGGGTGCAGTAGTATGAGGGAGAAATACGGTTAGTTGAGTAGGTAGACAAAGCTCAGCTCACAAGGGGCCTTGTTTGGACCATTTGAATTTCTTTCTTAATGAAATTACGAATTTAGATTTATGTGATGAAGAAAATGGAGAGCCAGTGATGGAATCTGACATGCTTAATGGGATTTTTAGGAAATCCTGAATACTATTCAGTGAGTTGGAAGGGGATAAAAAAAGGAAAAACCATTTAGACAGCTATTTACATTATCAAGTAATAGGTGATCAGAAATCTGCTTTATTTTCTTTTAAGGAAATTTTGTTAACTCCATACAAACTGCTTTTGCTGCTGGTATTGGCTGGCTGATCACTTTTTGTTCCAAAGGAGGAGGTAATTTTATTTGTTTTGTTATAAGAACCATGACATTAAATTTTAAACCATGATATTTCATTTTTTTCCAGTTTTATTGAGATATAAATTAACATGAAATATTGTCTAACTTTAAGGTGTACAATGTATTGATTTGATGCTCTTAATATGTTGCAGGATGATTGCAACAAGAGCATTAGCTAAGGCCTTCATCCTGGCACATAACTACCATCTTTTTATTTTATTTATAGCAAGGACATTTAACATCTACTCTCTTAGCAACTTCAAGTATACAATATAGCATTATTAGTATATTCACCAAACTGTACATTAACTACCAGAACTTGTTAATGTTATAAACAAAGTTTATACTTCTTGATGAAGCAATAGTCTTAGAGGTATGCTACCATAATTGAGTATTTTTAGCACTGCAAATAGTTTATATCCAAGATTAAAATGTTTAATGAATATTTGTTTTATTTTTATAAAAGATTTTAAAATTAATTTCCTAAGATATCATTTATAGTTTTGTGGTTGGTTGATACAAGTTTTTCATTTTACTGAACTTATAATACTTGTACCTTCAGTTAATGATGGATATACTACAAAAATAATTAGTTATTGGCAATACAGCACTACCCAAACAACATTTTTTTGGAATTACAGATTTTTCTTCATGTTCATGTACACATACCAAAAAAATGTGTATTCATTTGCCTCATAAAAGTAAATATTTGAAGATGACAACTTCCATTTCTAGGAACCTTTCCTTCAGTAAATTAAGTTGAAATCCAGCACCTTCTGTACCAGAGTACACACTGTAAATCCTATTCACACATTGAAAGTGATTAAAAATTTGCATCAGTATTAACAAATTATCCCAATTCATCAATACATTTTGTTTAATCCCAAATAGACCTATTTCTCATACTTCTCCTCTTGAATGTATTGCCTTATAGCAGAATTCATTCTTAATCTTAGTTTATTATCAAGAGGGTTTGTTCATTTTGGTGTGCTGCATAGATTTCTGTCCATTCTACATATGGGGGGGGGACTTTAAAACTATGGCATTCTTTTACCTCAGGTAGGTTACTTTTACCTTAATAAGCTTTTTTTTTTTAAGATTTATTTTATTTTATTTTTATTTATTTATTTATTTATACAAGCACTGGGTACAGTCAGAAGCGTGGGAGGGTGAGAGAATCCACCAGAGCCAGAGCGGGGAGCAGAGCAGGCAGAAGGACTGAAGCACACTGCTGAGGGGAGCAGCGGGCGGCAGGAGAGGTCTGCACGCCATGTGGGACCCTCCTCCGGTGACTGGGGAGCAGCCGGGGGTCGAACTGGCGCTGCAGAGGCTGTGGGCAGCTTCACAACCCAGCGCTCAACTGCTGCACCACTGGGGAGGCCCACCTTAATAAGCTTTTGATACTCTATCTCCCTTCCTTCTAAATCTGTCTTGTGTTCGAGCATTTATATTTATAGAATTTTCATAAAAATGGTGAAGAAGCTATTTTTAAATTGTATTTTAAGAACCCTTGACATACTCTTATCAAATAGATGTATTACATTTTATTTCCCCATATCATAGCTCTTTGATAAGGGGAATTTTTGATAGGAGAGATTTGAGAATAAGATCTCAAAAGAGATGCTTGAGAGAATGTGATTTCTTTTCTCTTTAACTAAAAATTCTAGGAAGCAAAAGTAAGAAATGAAATGAAAAATTGATAAAAGAGATATTGTGTGTATGCATGTGTGTGCATGTATGTGTGCACGTGTGTAGAATAAGACTTTCACCTCATTATCTACCTAATAAATAAGTCTCAATATTTACCAGTAGATCTCAAGTATTTGCTTTAGAATCAACATGGTTGTGGGCCTCCCATGGTGGTGCAGCAGTTGAGCGCTGGGCTGTGAGGCTGCCCGCAGCCTCAGCAGTGCCGGTTCATTCTCCAGCCACCGGCGAGGGTCCCACAAAAAAAAAAGCATAACACAGTTGTTTGGGGGAAAGGCAAAAGCAAATTTAGACTTGTAAAGCTGAAATTACTTCTTAAGTTTTTCCCCCCTAGATTGTTTGACTTCACAGACACGTCTCAGGCTTAGTGGCATGTTGGTAAGTATCAATTATTTTATAAAACTAAATCACCATGCTAAGCAACACTTTTAAAAATTGAATCTAGATACTTTCTTTGATAGTTTAAGTACTTAACTCACTTTTTTTTCCTGATATTCTAATTTTTTTCAAAATTCTTTAGCAATTTTGATGAATGGTACTTTTATTGTTCACTTTTTAATATTCTATAATTTAATTGTGAAATCTTTAACCAGATTTCATGTATTTGTGTATATATGTCTTGTATGTCTTACTGTCATTTTCAAACTTTAATCTTTGTTTATATCTCATTGTATTATGATTGAGGAATTGTTTATGTGTTTTAATACTTTAACACTATTAAAGCTGCCTCTGTGGCCTAGAATTATCAGTTATGAAATTGTGAAAGTTCTGTGTGTGCTTGAAAGTAGTAGATTTTCTGTGTATTTTAGGTATAATTTTTATTATGTTAGATCGAATTTATCAATCATGTTATTCAAATCTGCATCATTTATTTTTTTGAATGCTCTTAAAAATTTAAGTTTACAATAGAAAAGTTGTTTTTCTTTTTGATTTTTTAATAGTTGATAAAAAGCAAAGTAATTTCACATGATTTGCATTTATTATATAGTTTTAAATGTACTGATCGCAGGAATTTTTTTTTACTTTTAAGAGTACAGATCTTTTTTTTTCACATAATTTTTTATTTTTAAATATATTTTAGTTGAGAAAAGTTGTTTTGCTGAGTAAAACTAAATACGTTTTACTTTTTCTTCCACTTACAATACAACCATTTTTTATTTCCATCATAGGATGGTCTTGTTAATGTAGGCTGGATGGACTGTGCCACCCAGGACAACCTTTGTACAAGTTTGGATATTACAACAAGTACTACTGCCTATTTTCCTCCTGGAGCTACTTTAAATAACAAAGAGAAAAGCAGTATTCTGGTATGAATTGCTTTAATTTCTTTATGTATAAAGGTGCAGGCACACAGTCAAACATAATGTATCTCTTTGTTAAAAAGGAGCAAGTAAACAAATCAGTTTATACATCAGATTATAGAACATTTATTTAGAATCAATATTCTGAATTCTGTTTAATCTTACTTCAGTTTATTCAATCTGCTATAAGGATTATTTATAAACTTTTATACTTTAAACACTGAAGATATAAATTGCATTCTGAGGTTAGATGTATTTTCTCTGGTTTTCATTTATTTTGTTTGGATTATGAGCTTTACCTCCCTGATGAATAAGGAGAATGAGGTTTAAGCTAGTTGTCAAGGAGCTGAGGTAAATGATTGGAATAGATCCCTAGGGAACCCCAAAAGAAAATAAAACTTAAAACTATGTGCTGATTTTCCAATTTTAGCTGTGGCCTTGACCTCTGCCTCCATTCCAGACATGTGTATACTACTGCCTGTTCAACAGTTCCCTGGGACATTAATTCATGTTTTGAACTTACATATTTATAATTATACTGACATTCCCACACACACTTTTTGCCATCTCAGTTAAAAACTTCATCCTTTATCATTAGGACAAATACATTGGAGTCATTCTTTTTCCTCTACACTATACCCAATTCATCAAGAAAATCTATAACTGTTTTTAAAAGCTTTCCATAATCTGTGAGAGTGTTCATCACTTCATAACATGTGTTATAATTATTTACACTTTCATTATTTTTCTCCCACATTAAATTTTGTTTGGATTTTTCACTGACATATCCTAAACACACTCTAGCACATTAGTACTCTACCAAGTGTTTTTATGTGCCAAATAATAGATGTCTGTATTTTTCTATAGTAATCGTTAATCCCTGAAGAGTTAACCACTGACTACTTGTGACATAACTAATCATTCTTCTCTTGATATTTGTTACTACTTTTTAGGATCCTAGAGTATTGTAATGAACACACTCGTTTGTTCATCTTTATCTGTTTAGAATGAGATAGCAGCTTTAACTCAATTTGTATTACTAGATTGCCCTGCAGAAAACTTGTGTACCTGCCATCAGTTCATGAGGATTACCCTCATCAACACTTAATCTAAACTTTGCCTTCAGTGCTGCAGTCTCATAGTGAGATATTTGGTTTTTTTTAAATATAAAATTGCCATTTGGATGTGATCTTGGACAGGAAACATGAGTGATAATAGAAATGTAATAACTGGGGTTGATGAATTGAACAATCTTTTCACTCCTAAGAAGCATTCAAGTTTTAAAAAATGTACACCAGTTAAATATGTTTGGAAGGTTAAATTCAAAGGCTAAACAGAATTTTTTATAGATACAACTAATACGTTGTACTCCTAAAAAATGAATTTTTTAATGAGTTTCTAGTGGATCAAGTACTTACATATTTATATAAATTGCTATAGGAGTATTTTTAGTAAAATTTTCATATGTATATGCTAAAGTGAATGAGATGATACATAAAAGATTTGTTTTGGTACTTTAAACAGTTTGGTAATGAAGTCATTTCATATAGATCTTTAAGAATATTAATTCTGGGGCCTCCCTGGTGGCCTAGTGGTTAAATTTCAGTGCTATCACAGCTAAGGCCTGAATTCGATCTCCTTCCAGGGAGTTAACCCACATAAGACACAGCAAACCACTCTTGTCTCGCCCGCTGCTTGCTCCCCTTAGCAGTATATTTCAGTAGATCTGCCTATCCTCCTCCCCCTGTGTCTCTGGTGAATATTCTCACCTCTGGCCTATACCCCAGTTCTTCTATGCCAAAACTAATAATTATAATAATAATAATAAAATGATGATTTAAAAAAAAGAGACTATTAATGCTACAGTTTTTTTTGATTAAAAAATACAGAAAACTCAATATTAAGGAAAAATATTGGGGGAACCTCCCTGGTGGTGCTGGGGTTAATGCCTTAGCACTATCAAGCTATCACTGGCCACTGCAGCGTGAGTTCAATCCCTGGCCAGGGAGTTAACCCATATGGCGCAGCAGACCTCTCCTTTCTTGCCTCCTTCTGCTCCCCTCAGCAGTGGATCTACCTATTCTGCTCCCCACTCTGTCTCTGAGGAATCCTCTCACACCCCTACACCTCTGCCCTAGACCCCAATTCTTTTACACATAAATAAATCTTTAAAAAAAAATTTGGAAAAACTGAACTTTCTTTTATGTTATCCATTGTTTCTGTCCATATAAGCATTCCATTTTGAGCACAATAAGCTATAAATACTGTGCTATTTTCTGTATATTTTTAGTGGAATCATGGGTCTTTCAAGTGATGTTTGAATTGTCAAACATAGATGGCTCATAATTAAAGGTGTATATTAAATCTGTTTGATTCAAGCCCCATACATATTTTCTTGATGTTATCATTGTTCTTCACTCTTTATAGTAACACTTGCTTCACTGAGAATTAGACCATCAAGGAGAAATCTTTGAGAAAAATATGCTGAGGATAAATTATGGACAGAAATAATGGAGATTTGTTAGAAGGGAGGTGTGCCTTTTTCACTTGTGTTTTCATGGACTTAGGTTGAAAATATAAAGTTCTTTATCATTGTATCTGCAAAATTCCTTGGGTGTGGTTTGGTGTGGGGATGTTTTTTTAAAAACCTCTGTAGTAGAAAACAGATCTGTTCCAATATTTCAGTTATAAGTTTTTAATTTCTACTAATTACTGGTTGTGATAAAGTTTCTAGGGTCATGACATACTCTAATTTTTTAATACTAAAGAATTTATAAAGCATTGGCATTCTTTAAAACATGGTTAACATTAAAATTAAACTGAACATAATGGTCGTTTTTCCTAATGATTCAAAACTTACGAGGATTATCACAGAATATACAGCATAGTTAATGAAAATTTCAGGTAATCAGACACCTAAATAATGGCATTGACTTTATATCATTTTTAAGACATAGTCCAATTTTTAATAGGTTACCCAAAATGATATGCTTTATTGTTTAAAAGATTTGGAATAAATAACTTGAAAAATGCTTAATTTTGTGCTTTTTTTCCTTCTAAGTTCTTTTATGGAATTTAGAAAAAAGTCAAATAGATATTAACTTAAAAGATTACAATATTAATTATTCTCTTATTCTAGTTTCTCAATTCATTGGATGCTAAAGAAATATATTTGGAAATAATGCATAATCTTCCAGATTTTGAACTGCTTTCGGCAAACACTCTAGAGGTAACATGTTTATAAAGAAATAGCAATAAATGTTGACAACATTCTAGGTTTAAGCATATTAAAATTAGTGTTTTTATTTATCACTCAAGAGAAAGTACCAGTTTCATAAGAACTGTATCAGTCTGCTTAGATTAAATCTAGTTATTAGAGTTGTTGGTGTTGAAATTTCAGGGCAGATCTCTAGTTTTGGAAAACTAGCCTGTCCTGTAGGTCAGTTTCAGGAGAAAAAGGCAAGATTTTAACCACAAGCCAACTTTGGGTCAAATTTGGGACTTTATGTTCTTGCTTTTAAAAATACCGTTTATTACTTTTTTCTATTTTTTGATCCCGGAGGCTTCTACGTCTCTATTTTTACTCAACTTTGTGTTAAACCTGGGAAAGCTGACTTACCCATAGCCCAACTATTTTTTTTTAAAAAGCAATAATTTTTTTATAAAAAATTTTAAAAAACAGGGCCTCCCCGGTGGCACAGCGGTTGAGCGCTGGGTTGTGAAGCTGCCTGCAGCCTCTGCAGCGCCGGTTTGATCCCCGGCTGCTCCCTGGCCACCAGAGGAGGGTCCTCCCGCATGGCGCCTGCTGCTCCCCTCAGCAGTGAACTTCTGCCTGCTCTGCTCCCCGCTCTGGCTCTGGTGAATTCTCTCACCCTCCTGCGCTTCTGACTGTACCCAGTGCTTGTATAAATAAATAAATAAATCTTTTTTTTAAAAAAATTTTTTTAAAAACAACTATGTTATTGAAAACCTTTTTTTTTTCCCCCTTGGATCAGTCCTCTAAGACTTTGTAATTTATACTCTTTAATTTATAAAAAATCTTCCTGTAATGTAGAATAGATTTACATAGCATTATATCAAATAAGCATCAAAATGGGTTTTATCTAACATTTTGAAGTAATAAATAGGGTCACTAAAAGCAACTAAGTCAAAGAAATAATGAATAGAATCTTTAGAATTTGCCCTCGCTGACTTTTCTCTTTCATTATCACTTTTTTGAATGACTTTTAAGGATCGTTTGGCTCATCATCGGTGGCTCCTATTTTTTCATTTTGGAAAAAATGAAAATTCAAATAATCCTGAATTGAAGAAGCTAAAAACTCTACTTAAAAATGAACATATTCAAGTAAGGAAATTGTAATCTGTCTGCCTTCTACTATTTTATTTTCTTAATGTATATTTCAAAAATAGCTTTACTTGAAGCTAGGTTAAGAATTACTTTCGTTCTATTTATTTGAAACCTTATTGAAAACTTCTATGTTTTTGCTTTGCCTGGATTTTTGTTTTTTACTGAAGGAGGTTTGCATTGTTTTAGTTGTGCATTTATAAATCAGCATCTTTATATACTACATAATTTGCCACTAAAAGTCCAATTGTGTCTCTCACCATACAGTTGACCCATTTTACCTAATTAACTCACCCCCTTTCCACTTCTCCTCTAATAACCACTAATTTGGTTTTATAGTCTAATAAAAATCTGTTTTATTCATTTGTTTTTATACCATATAAGTGAAATCACATAGTATTTGCCATTTTCTAATTTATGTCATTAAGCATAATATCCTCTGAGATCTTGCATTGTTGTTGCAATGCAACATTTTGTCTTTTTTCCTTTAATAATTGAGTAGTGTTCCATTTTGTATATATACCACATCTTTTTCCAGTAATCTGTGAATGGGCATATAGATTGTTTCCAAATCTTGGCTACTGTACATAGTGCCATAGTGAGCATGAAGGGTATACATATTTCTCTGAATTGTGGTGCTTTGGTTTGTTTGGGTTTTTTTTTTTTTTGTAATTCTTTGGGTAAGTACAAGGATCATACTGAATTTCTATTTTTAATTTTTGAGAACTCTCCCTATGACTTCCATAATGGTTACACCAGTTTACATTCCCACAACTATATATGAGAATCCTTTTCTCGCCACATCCTCTCCAACACTAATTTCATGTCTTTGAATAATAGTCATTCTCATAGGTATGAGGTAAATATCTCATTGTTGTTTCGATTTGCATTCCCTGATAAGAAATGAAAATCTTTTCCTGTTAGCCATCTGTGTGTCATCTTTGGAAAAGTATGTGTGCAGATCCTCTGCCCTTTTAATCAGGTTGTTTTTATTGAGTTTTATGAATTTATCTATTTGGGATATTAACCTTTTATTGGATGTGATTTGCAAGTATCTTCTTACATTCAGTAATATTTCTTTTGATTTTGATAATTATTCCTATCAATGTATAGAAGCTTTTCAGTTTAATGTAGTTTTTTGCTTTTGTTCTCTTGCTGTTTGAGTCAAATCCCCACTTTCCTAAGACCAATAGATTTCTTTCTCTATTATATTCTCTTGTTCTTTTGACTCCTTTCTAATAAATAAGTTGTCCATATATGTGTATGTCTATATGTGTGCTGTTTAATCAAAATGGATTCACTGCATTCCCTACCACAGCTCCACCCCAGAGATGAGGAACAACTCAATTACATTTTATTCTACAAGAAAAAGTAAAGTTTATTGTTGAAAATCTCACTAAAATTTTCTACCCTGTGTCTTTGGAGTCAGAGGAAATGTGACTTAAATCCCTATTTATAATATTTGAGCTCTTTAAATTTATTCAACCGCTTTATAATGTCAGCTTTCTCGTAAATAGGTCTGTGTTGTCAGAATAGATAATTTTATGTGAAATTACCTAGCATAGAGTTCAATACATGGCAGAATCCAATATACATTATTTAATCTATTAAAAAAATGGACTCACTGTAATCTTTGTAAAATTTTCCACTTAACAATATTGTAAATTTTCACTTGCCAGTATACACACACACATCATTACCACTGAAGTCTTAAGTAGTATTTTGCTATACGTTTACACAATAATCGTTACATAAATCCTCTTACTAATGACTTGTTTTTCTCATTTTTTAAATCAAAAATACTCCTAAAAATGCAGTAAGAGGAATTTTTATGATGCGAAGTTATATTCTTTTAAAGGTTTTTTTGGTCTTCATTACCAGAGTCCTCCAGAAAGTTTATCAATTTATATTCTCACTGACAACATGTAAGTGACCATTTCTCCATATCTGTGCCAACCATGGTATTTTTTATAGATTCATTACCATTTTGATATGCCAAAAGTAATGTTAAAAACATATCATTGTGCTTTCTCGTGGAGTTGAAGATGGTCTTCAAGATTACTAACAAATCATAATCCTCTATTTTCTATGTATGTCTCTGGCCCATTTTCTTTCTCCTGGTGTAGGATGTTCTTTTTTTTTCACTTTAAGGTTTATTTTTTATTTATACAATAGCTAGGGTACAGGCCAGAGGCACGGGAGGGTGAGAGGAGTCGCCAGAGACAGAGTGGGGAGCAAAACAGGCAGACAGACCGAAAGCACTGCTGAGGGGAGCAGCATGCGCAACAGGAGAGGTCTGCCACACCATGTGGGTATCTCCGGGAATTGAACCCGTGCTGCAGAGGCCGGGAACAGCTTCACGGCACTGTGCTCAACCCGCTGCGCTACCGGGGAGGCCCTGTTCTTTTTTTTCTTATTGAATCTTCTGTGTTAAATACTACAAGTTTTTTTTCTTGATTTACCTTTTTCTTGTTGGTCTTCTTTATGCTGTTTTATCCCCCCACACTATGAGATTGCTGGCCTTTTCTGTGGTTTGTCTTTGAAAATTCTCTCAGGCCTCCCTGGTGGCACAGCAGGTTGAGCACAGCGCTGTGAAGCTATCCTCAGCCTGTGCAGCACAGGTTCCATCTCCAACCGGCCAGGGAGATTCCCACATGGCCTCTCTTGCCTCACCTGCTGCTCCCCTCAGCAGTGTTCTCAGTCTGCCTGTTCTGTTCCCCACTCTGTCTCTGGTGAATTCTCTCACCCTCCCGCGCCTCTGGCCTGTACCCCAGTTTCTTGTATAAATAAATAAATCTTTTTTAAAAAAAGTTAAAAATTCACTCTCTCCCCAAGATTATATAAATATCCACATTTTTAGAGGGGTAGATTTCTTAGCTCCCTATTTTTTAAGAAATTTCTCTCAGTTTTAAGTAAATTGAATTCCAATGTTAGATGTGAATTTCTTTTCATGACCTATTAACTTTCTTTTAGAAACTGTATTGTTAGAGAAGTGTATTTTTAACTTATCTTTACGGATATTTAAAAGTTGAATGGATACATTGTGTTTTCTTCAAGTTGAACCTTGTTTTTCTACTTTAGATTGGCAAATTTGACTGTTCCTCTGCACTGGACATCTGTAGTAATCTCTACATTTTTCAGCCATGTCTAGCAGTATTTAAAGGTCAAGGAACCAAAGAATATGAAATTCATCATGGTAAGGAGGGGGGAAATGATGGAAACTATCTACATAGTAATGTTTTCATTGTACTTTTTACCATGTTTTAAGATCCTCAGTATATCTGTTCTCATTTAGTAGCATATTTGTTTCTTATAGGGAAATAGCTTTTTAATTATATTGTTATTTTATCCTTACTCTTCTTAAAACTAACAGTTCTCTCCTGCTATTCAATAATTTGAACAGTATTTCAGTAAGAATTCTGATAGCATAGTGACAAATTTAAGGGTATTATTTATTAGCAAAAGTAAGCAGCTCCTACAGTTGCCATTCCAGTGAGACAAATATGCCATCTCAGTGATTATGGATGATATCCGGGCATTCTTTGGTATTTTCCTTCCTTAGATTACCAGATTTCTGCATTAACTACTTTGTTACCTATCTTGAATTTATAATTACACTTCTGTATTTCAACTCTGTGTATTTAGCCCTACATTCATGTAATAAAGTTCCAAGGGTTTGGGGTACATCATAGGTGCTATCCTAAAAGAAGTCAAATATAGCAAAAGAAACAACCTGCTAATTATGAAATACTTAGTGAGTCACAGATATTGATGAAATGCCTGTTACAATACTGTTTTAAGTGTTAGAATACAAAGTTGTAAGACATGGACTCTGTCTCAAGAAATTTATAATATCTAGTGGGGGAAAAAGGAGCTTTACAAGAAAATGTGAAAAGCATTGTAATAATCATTATGCATAAACTACGAATTACAGAAACATCTGCATAGTGTATATAAGGAGGTGGTATTTGAATAGAGTTGACATTTGAATGCTCAGTTTCCCAAAGCAAGTATTAGAAAAAAATAGTAGGCTCTCTAGGCTAGAAGAACTGCGTGAGCTGACTTGGCAAGAGAACTTATGTAACAGGAGTTACTTTTTACGTAGTACTTTCTATTAAAGTCAGACATTTTTCTAAAGCCTTTGCATACTTCTACATTTAAATTTTTATTTATACAACTCAACCAGGGAGAAAATGAGATTTTAAAAAGTAACATGTCCCACAATAAACTAGTAACTGCTGGTCAAAGAGGATTATGTACCCAAATATATCTGACTCTAAAGCCCAGACTTATAGCCAGATTAAACTACACCACTTTCTGAAAGTATCAAGATGACCACATTTTTAAAATAATGGAGGTCTGTTTTTTAATTCAAACTTCACTTTCCATATTCCCCTATTCTCTGTGCTTCTTGATTGATTCAGTTCCGTCTGTCTACTGTAATGTCATATACAATTGCCACCTCCTAATCTTTCCTTTTGGAAAGGCTAGCAGTTGAACAAAGCATGTGATGACTGTGTTTGCAAAGTGGGCTCTTTTGCCCATATTTTGATTGGGATATTTCTTTTCATTTTGTTGAGTTGTATGAGCTCTTTGTAGGCCTTTGATATCAGCTCCTTGTAGGCCTTTGATATCAGCTCCTTGTCAGACGTATGGTGTGGAAATACTTTCTTCCATTGAGCAGAGTGTTTCTTCATTTTAGCTATGTCTTTCACTGTGCAGAGCAGTTTGGTTTGATCCAGTCCCAATTGTTTATATTCTCTTTTGTTTTCCCCATAGGATCACTTTTAAAATTATGGTCAGTAGAGGGATTTGTAAAGAATTGCAGCAGCAGCAGCAGCTAAAGAATAAGAAAAAAGCAAAAGAATATAGTATCATGTATCATTGTTTTTAAACAATTTTGAAATTGTCTCTCTACCACTAGGTTATGGACTCCTTAAAAAGGACTGTATCTTTTATTTTTGCATTCCCTGCAGCATTTAAAACAAGGTCCAACATATTAAATGTGTTTGGTTTAATATCGACTACTGAAGGAATGTCAGGGGGCACCAGGGAAAATGTACTATGCAGTGACTGAGAGAGCTATCTGCCAAGCCAAGAAGATTCTTTAGGCAAGGGAAAAGCATCAGAATCTGTTAGGCAAGAGGATATTATGATCAGATTAAGTTGACTGTAGTAGTAATTGTAGAAAAAGGGCCGAAAAACCAGGTTGGTTATTGTAGTAGGCCAGATTGAACATAGGCAGTAGCTTAGATTGGGGTTGGAGATGGTAAGATGATGAGTGAAGTATGATACAAAGGCAAAGAAGGAAGGCAAAAAAATCACTCTAGGAAATCTACTGGGTTATGCCATTGCCAAGATAGGAGAGCATGTTTAAGGGGAAATAACTTGATTTTGATATGTTTGAAAAGCTTATGGCATCCAGGTAAATATTTCCACTGGGCAATTGGTAATAGGTTTTTGAATTCATAAACAAAATCTACATTGAAGAAGTAGATGTGGGAATTAGGACATTTCAGGTAAGCATAAGGAACTCCACTATTAAAAAATATAATTCTGCCGCTGAGAATGAGGAAACATATCACATAGGGTTTGACATTTTAACTGGTCTTCCATCAGTAGCATACAGGACACTAAAACTGCACTAAATTCAATTCATAAGTTTATCTTCCTTTAACATTTTAAGTATAAAAAATGACATAAAAACTTTGAAATGTTTCTGTGAATAAAAAGGCAGAATGTGGACTTTAATTTTTCTCTTTTAATTTCAAAGGAAAGAAGATTCTATATGATATACTTGCCTTTGCCAAAGAAAGTGTTAATTCTCATGTTACCACATTGGGACCTCAAAATTTTCCTGCTAGTAACAAAGAACCGTGGCTTGTTGATTTTTTTGCCCCTGTAAGTCATTTCATTTTTTTCCTGTCAAATTTCACTATTCTAAGATTTTCTCTTGTAAGAGCAAAAAGATATTGTCTAGATAACCTTGAACCTTGTGTACAAGATTTACATAACAGTTTTGGCCACTATCTCACTATGTCAGCACTAAGAGAGATGATAAACGTTTACCTCCAACTATCAACTATACAACAACTCAGTTTGGTTTATTTTACTTAGCATATTATTTGTTGCAAAATGCTTTTGTTTCATTTGCTTCAGTACTTATGAATATTTTTTTCTTTCCTAGTGGTGTCCACCATGTCGAGCTTTATTGCCAGAGTTACGAAAAGCATCAAAACATCTTTATGGTCAACTTAAATTTGGCACACTGGACTGTACAGTTCATGAAGGACTCTGTAATATGGTATGGCAGTTTAAAAAAATTACATTTTTTGTAGTTCTTATAAAATAGATACCTTTTCACAGCTTAATACTAATATAATATCATCCTTCAAATGTACTTGTATATTTATAGTAGCAAAATAAGTGATTTAATCAAAGTGATATAGTAAAACAATAATATATGTGTAGTTGAATTGTAAATGTCTTATTTACTAAACTCGGGAAAATAATTTGATAAAATACATGATTTTCAATTATTTACATTTTTTAACTTAACATTACGTTTTGGCAGTCTAATTTTTATTCTTTTGCTTTCCTCGTACTTATCTTCTACGTGTAATTAATAGGAGGTAATTAAAACAATGAAACAAGCTTTTGAAACCTTTTTTTTACATAAAAATATTTTCTTAGGTTAATAAATATTCTTTCTTCAGGTCCAGGAAGATCTAGAATTTACACTTCACTTTGAAAGTATCTATAATACCACCTATAAAAATATTCTTGGGGGAAAAGTTATCAGACCTGAATCAAGCACCTCTGTGTACAGGAAATGACAGAGGAACATGTTAAATGACACCGTGGGCACACAATCTGCAAATCTCAGCATGTAGAGGACTTTACAAGACAACACTAAGTTTATTGGACAAACACATTGGAGGTGGGGAGGATTAAAGAGATTTAAAAGATGTATCATTTAAATGCAATTGTGAATCTATTTCCTTTGCTAAATCTGACCAGGCTAAAATTTTTCAGTCATCAGCAATTTTACAATAGGTTTTTAAATCCTATTATTTAAAGTAAAGGTAAAGTAGTTATAAATTTGAAACAGATAGGTGAAAAATATATAAAACCTTTATTTAATTTGTATTCTTATTCTTAATAGTATAATATTCAGGCTTATCCAACAACAGTGGTATTCAACCAGTCCAACATTCATGAATATGAAGGACATCATTCCGCTGAACAAATACTGGAATTCATAGAGGTACTTTCTATAACTACAAATCCTTCGTGTATATGTACATTTTGTATAAATATTTAGCACATTTAATAATGGAATTCTTTTCATGCCAAAACATTTTCTAACAATGAATTTCTTTAATTTTTCTATTTCATTTTGTACTTATAATAAACTCTGAGAATAAGTATGCTTTTCTGTTCCCTAGTACACTGTGCCTAGTACCTTGAATCTATGAAATTATACTTTAACATAAAGCCTTGTCACCCTCTTTCTGTTGTTGTTTTTTTTTTTTTCTGATAGAACCACCATAGATTATTTCTTTAGGTCCCAAATAGTTGATACAGGAGTTTGATATAAGAATGAGGCCATTATTACCTAAGAAACATGGATAAGGGACATTCTTATCCCATCCACCCAGTAAAGGGTCTCTACGCCTAGACAGCTATGCCAAGCTTATGTGTTATTAACAAAATATACTGTACAATTGTAGCATCTCCTTTTTTCTCACTAAAGTCTTCATTGGCTGAAATAGTTACTAGCGCCACCTAAGGAATGGAACATTCTAGCTTATTATCCAGGTAATGACCATTCTGCCCTGTGCTACTCATCTCTCCTTCCTCCAAAGTAATAATTGTTTTTTGTTCTCATCCTAATGAAGCTAAATCTTAGTTTGTGCTCTTTGATCATGATAGACTGAACAGCATCTGGAGCAAGTGATTTGTAGAGAAGTTATGCAGTATCTCCAGTCAGAATGTCAGAAAAAAAAGGATAGTAGACTTTCCATTAGTAATTATAGGTTTTAGGCAAGTCTTGGAACTCTTGCCTCAGCCACCCCTAACCTTAAATACAGTTGCCTCTTTTCCCTTCTAAAAGTGATTTTAGTGATACACAGAAGTATACCTTGATTTGTAAAGTCTAATGAATAAAATCCAAACTTAAGGTAGATTATATCTTTTTAAAATAACTTGCTAGAGATTCTAAGTACCTTTTGATTATTCAAAAATAGGAACTTTTCTAAATAACACATACCAACAATTTGCCAAAAAATATAATGGAAGCTATATTCTCTTCAGGATCTTATGAATCCTTCAGTGATCTCCCTGACACCAACCACTTTCAATGAACTAGTTAAACAAAGAAAACATGATGAAGTCTGGATGGTGGATTTCTATTCTCCATGGTGTCATCCATGTCAAATCTTAATGCCAGAATGGAAAAGAATGGCCCGGGTATAGTAGAATTGCTTATTTTAAATCATACTACTTTCTAAGAAGGTTTATTTAACAGATTTTGTAACTGATATAAATGAGCCCACCATTAGATTGTCATTTAACAATATTAATATCACTTGCATGTTTTGGAGTGTGAATATAGAATAATTACCCTATTTTCTGTGTCACTTGGTAGACTTTTCACCAAATTCCTACCACTGAACCCAAAGATCCCCTTTATTTCCTATCAAAATATTTTACTCCTTTACTTTTAGAGATTTAAAGATAGTGCTTCAGAGTATTGTGGAATGTAAGAAAAGTAACCTTGATCAATAACATTTAGAAAATTTCCTACAAATAGACACTTTTATAAATCATGAAAGAGAAGAAACAAATACCAAAATGACTATTAACGTTTATTTCTAGAATAAAAAATGAACAACCTAAAAGCTAAAATGGTTTCTGGTATCTTAAAAGAATATATTTTTATGCTCTTTTCAGTAAAAATTTAAAATTTAGGTGAGTCAGTATAACTGTCTCCATTTGGAAAATTAACTGATATATTACTATATGTTTTTGATTTCTAACACAATTTCCCCATGTATTAGATGAATGAATAGATTTCAGTTCATTACTATAAGTGGTGTACTGTTTTAAGCCCTTGTCCATTTTTATTTGGTAAAATTCACTGATAATAACCTTACAGTGGCAATTTCTCTACTATAAACCTACATTGAATAGTTAGGAAAGTGAATTTATTCTAGTCACTTTGACCTATTTATCTTTTTTCTTTTATAGACATTAACTGGATTGATCAATGTGGGCAGTATCGACTGCCAACAGTATCATTCTTTTTGTGCCCAAGAAAACGTTCAGAGATACCCCGAGATAAGACTTTTTCCCCAAAAGTCAAATAAAGCTTATCAATATCAGTAAGTATTCCCTCAGATGTAAAGACATTGTTATAACCATATATTTGTTCAGTTTTTATCATAACTAGATAAAAGTTAACCTAATAAACATCTTGGGAGTCCACTGTGTTCTCATTAGTATGGTAATGAGAACAAAAAGAAGTGAACGGTCCCACTGTTCATGAAACTGACAGTCTAGTAAAGAAGATAAGGTAAAAGGAACATTTATGAAGTCCTAATTTGATATCAGGTACTCTTCATTAGTCCTCATACAATATCCTGAAGAATAAGAATTATCTCCCTTCCTGCTACTACAGATAAGTAAACAGAGTCATAGGCTTTACGTAATTTTCCCAAGTCTATCTCAGTGCCCATGAGCAGCTGAACAGCACCCCATGGTATTTTAGGCAGAAAATTCAAACACAAGGTAGAATGATACATACAATGAAAAAGGTAAAAATGAAACATGGATTCTATGAGAGGAAATCATTAAAGACTGCATTTATGGGGTATCTTTGAAAAGTGGGTAGGAATTTGACAGTAATAAGTTAAGATTCAAAAGCTAAAGCATGGGACATTTTTAATGTTGCTGTTCCATGGGTTTGAAGGAGATGTCTAGCAGGCAAACTGACATTTAGGTCTGTGTAGAACACAAGAATACAGAAAAAAATATATTTGGGAAACCATATAGCAGTATTTGTAAATACATACATCTGAGAAGAGAGATACTAAGTCAATCAAACTCTTCTTTAAGTTGCTACAATGAGATTGCTTTTTGAACATACCAATAGTAGAAAATGGTATTTACAACTTAACTATATATTTTTTCTTTCAGTAGTTACAATGGTTGGAATAGGGATGCTTATTCCCTAAGAACCTGGGGCTTAGGGTGAGTAAAATATTTATTGTATAAAAATTAAATGCTATTTACCTTCCTCTTATGTGTGTAGTTAAATTTACTGGGGGTTATTTAAGGTACTAGAATTCTAAAGTACATACTTAAAATAATGATGTGTGCTTTATATCACTATCATTCTTTGAAATCATTTTTAAGTCAAAGTCTTGTACTATTACATTTTAGATGTTTGCTTTGGTTTTGTACAATAAAAAATTATTTTGTTCCCTTGCCATAGATTTTTACCTCAAGCATCTACAGATCTAACACCTCAGACTTTCAATGAAAAGGTTTTACAAGGGAAACATCATTGGGTGATAGATTTCTATGCTCCTTGGTGTGGACCTTGCCAAAATTTTGCTCCAGAATTTGAGCTCTTGGCCAGGGTAAGTCTTATCTATCTACTTAAACAGGATGTGATCACATGTATATTTTAATAATTAGATAAAACATTATAAATCTTAATATTTTTCTCAAGTTTCCTGTTTAAAAAATATAAACTCTTTCTATGACTATTATCTTTTCAGACTTCATCCTTCTTTATTAAAATTTTTAATCTAATATCTTTATCTTGGTTGATAATATCATGTACCTAACCAGAAGAGCCAGAAAGCTAAGCTCTCCCTCTTGTCCATTATTTCCTTCCCTCACCACCGTTACTTTGCTGTGCTCAATCACTAAATAGATCCTATCAGTCCTATTACAGGTCTTTCAAATTTATCATCTCTCCATCTCTTCTGCTAGCCTCTTTATTCAAGCCTTCAATATCTCTTATCTATAGGCTTATATTTGCCTTTTAACTCAGTGTCTTCTTCAGTTCTACCCTGGACATCTTTGAAAATTTTGCCTTCTCTAGTTTCCCATTAACCAAGTTTCTTGACATGCATTCTTCACTACAGGTTTTTGATCTGACCATTACTACCTTTTTCAGTTTATTTTTGCCCCCACAGTGGATACTCCGAACACAACAAAGTACACCAGGTTCTCTATACCTCTATATACATTCTGCTGCTCCCTCTTTCCCAAAAGTTTCTTAGTTTGATTATGTGGATTTTTTTTCTCCTCATCCTACACAATCTAGCTCCCACAGTACTTCTGTGTTCTCTGTCCTTCTCAGTTAATCATTGTTGCCTTGATAGCTTGTACTCTAAACTTACAATATGTGCTATTTATTTAAATGTCTAAATGTCTGTCTGTCTTAAGAATATGGGCTTCTTGACTGCAAGGTACCCCTAGAATAACTTATACCCCTAGAATAACTTAATATACAGTTAAACCAAATACATAAACTGAATAACATTGGAGTTTTTGGTGTTTGTAACAGCCCTATTAATGACCTAATCTGGATTGATTGCTTCTGCCATTGTCTACAAAACACATTAGAATGAGAAAGTCAGCACTCACTGAAAGTTGAGTATCAGAAGTCGTGGGAATTTTTTTTAGCAAAGGGATTTCCAAGCTTCTGTGAGCCCTAATAGGTTACTGAAGGACTAGTCAAAAAAAAAAAACACGAATAAGTTATTCGGGTTTTTCCACTTTGTTTTTCCCTCGTACTTTTTTCTCTAATAATTCTGACAAAATGTTTTATTCCCTTTCATTCATGTGCTGAGAAACTTAGTTATATATTTATAATGCAGCTTTATCATGAAAGTAGCAGAAATTCATTAAACATAAAAGATCATTCAACAGATTCTAACTACCAAGTGAAAAGCATTATGCTAAATACTGGAGCTACAAAAATAAAAAGATAAAGTTTCACATTTTAGTAAGATTTTACTCCAGTGAGAAGTTGTAAATAAAATAGACCACTGCTGTAGTCAGAGTGAAGCAAAAATTTGCAAGGAAGATCAGTTATGACAGAAGGCTTGACGTAAAAGCTAGTTTTACTGTAATTCTTGTCTCAAACCCTAAGAGTTTATTTAGTTGAAATGGTTGGCTAGAGAGCACTCTAAGCAGAGAAGACCATTTGCAAAGATGCAAGGATGTAGGGCCATGTTTAGGGATCTCCACTGTTGGTCTAGTATTAACAATATGAAGACTGAAGGGATGTGTCAAAAACTGAGGCTCAAATAAATAGATGGAGGAGGGTTTGGTCATTTTCCCCACACTATTCACATTGCAGACTTAGTCATTTCATACTGCTCTGAATGTATTCTATATAAGCATTAGAAGAGAACTATTGGATATGGTCAGATCCATTTTGTATTATAGGATCAACAGAACAACAAAAGCAAAGAAAGACAGTTACAGCACCAAAAATTATATAGTGTCCTAAGAGAAAGAAGAAGATAAATGGAAATATAAGAATGAGCAGGACTTAGTATTTCAGTGGGATAGATAAGGGAAAGAAGAGTCTAGGAAGACCCTAGTTGTTAACTTGAACTAAGTGAATAGTAGGACAGAAGGAAGAGTGGATTAAGGGAAAAAGGGTTCTTTTTAGAAATTTTGTACTTAGGGTGCTCATTAACTAGAGCAGGCTAAAAACATAGCTGAAAATTAAATTCAGGGCAGTGACTGAGGTTCCATAGCATAGAGGTATAAAAGAGCGTCCTAGGAAAGTGTTCATCGTTGAAAAGATTATTGACAGAGTTGGAGCTCTGGTTGAATACTATAATTTGAGGGGTAGGTGTAGATAGATGGTCGTCCTCATGCTAGAAATAAAGAAAAGCTAAAAGGCAGGAAAACCAAGCAAATAAAAAGAGAAATTTCCATTCTTTTTGTTTATACAGGAGTTATTCATTGGTGAACATTTAAGTTTCACTAAAGGAAGCAGTAAGAACAGAAGCTAGACTAAAATCTGTTGATAAGGGGCAAAGTGGTAAAAGTAAACTTCTAAAAAGAAAGAATATAGTAGCCAAACAGTGCAATCAAGAAAGGAATCCTTTTTTGATCATAGGTATAAGACTGAAGGAGAAGTGAGCCTTCCAAAAGTGGAAGAAGGCTGCTTCAACACATGAGGCCAGAGAAAGAAGGGTGAGGGCAGAATCAGGTGTTAATGGTGAGAGAGGGCAAGGTGTCAGTAGCAGGAAAAGTTGTAATTCCAGGTAAACTGCTTAGTTTTCTTGATAAGGCAAAGGAATTTAAAAGCGTCTTTGAGAATTTGGAAGCATTCTTAATTGAAGGGAAGAATACTAAATTTTTTAAATAACAAATCCTTAGATATGTAAAGATTTGAACTTTCTGGTATCACTTTGTGGTTGCCAGAACAGTTATCCCAAAGAGAATCTACGCTCAATTTATCTTTTTTCAGATGATGAAAGGAAAAGTGAAAGCTGGAAAAGTAGACTGTCAGGCTCATGCCCAGACATGCCAGAAAGCTGGCATTAGAGCCTACCCAACTGTTCGATTGTACCCCTACGAGAAAGCAAAGGTAAGGACAAGCTCACCTCAGTTTTCCTTTTCTCAACGGGCCAAGACGAAAAAGATTTTTTTTTTTTGGGGGGGGGTTAATAAAGATTTATTTATTTATACAAAACAGAGGCGCAGGAGGGTGAGAGAATTCACCAGAGCCAGAGCAGAGAGTAGAACAGGCAGAGTGACGAAGTATAGTGCTGAGGGGAGCAGAGGGCGGCAGGAGAGGTCTGCACGCCATGTGGGACCCTAGCCCTGCAGCCGGGGATCGAACCCGCGCTGCAGAGACTGTGGAAAAAGATTTGTTTTTAATCTGAGTAATGTTTTTCTTTCTGGTTTATGTTCTGTTATATCTTATATTATTGTACATTACTGATGCAAGTTTATTTTTGGCTATATACCAAGTGATTTTAGAGACTCGGTATATAGGCAAAACTTGCCTTACAATGTTTATATTCAAAAACAGGGAAATTAATAGTGTGACATTCGAAATACTAATAATGATTTCCTGTGAGTGGTAGAATTCAAAGGTAATTTCCTATGAGGTTTTGTGTTTTCCTTTATTAATCTTCTTTCCAGGGAAGACAGAAAATAAATATCATAATGCTTTTGAAATAGCCTTAGTACCTGAGCATTTATCTTGAGGAATATTTATTAATGGTTTAGACTATGATGAAGTTACAGTTCAATAAAAAGTAATTTCTGTGATCACTGATCCAAATTGTGTACCTGTCACCTAAATGTTATTAGTCTTCCAGCCAATACAGTTGCTAACTTAAAGTACTCATGGCCTTTGCTCTCTTCCCAAGAAAAAAATTAGACATTTCTGACAATAAAACTGATACAGTAAACAGTATTTTCAGTGTGTTAATGTTTTGTGGCAGTCTTTGAAACAAAAAATTTAGTATTCAAGTACAATATTTTACATGCTTTTTGTAATAGAGTATCAGATTAAGATGCTGATAATTTAGTACCTTCTAAAACAGAACTAAAGAGATGAGATGTTTCAGAAATCTGAAATTGTTAGACATCTGATTTCTTAGTGAAGGATTTTGATTTTTTTTAAGGTTCTCTCTATTTTTAGAACCTATAAAGTAAGCAGAACTTGATGAGAGTAAAGGAGCTTATTCCAGAGCTTGAGTCTTCATTTGGAATCCTCAGCTCTACTTCCCCTGAGAAATAGGTGACAAAAAGGTTTCATTAAGGTGAAGAATGTTAGAAAAGTATCAATATAATAAGCAGTCACAGGATTAACAAAGACAGAGGAAGCTGTTTGAAAAGATGTTACCATGTATCCAGAGGACAAAATCAGAAAGCAGAATATCCCTAACCAAACCAGAAGGCAAGTTGACATCCAGAATTTCTTACCAGACAAGAAGGCCAAAGCAGTATAGTGATTGGAATCAAATACATACTAAGGTAGGCAGTCACGCACAAAGTTCAGGTTCACAGTAGGAAGGAAACAACTGGTTCCAGATCCAGAATATGTAGACTTAGAGATAAAAGTTGCTTTCCATTATTGCAATTGATCAAGATTTTTTTCTGTGCCAATGATTGTATTAGATTATAACAATTGGAAGTTCTTTGGGGACACAGTCTTTTATGATACAGATGTTTGAAGCATTTGGATTTCAGTGCATTTCTCCCAAGGAATTACTTTACATAATCCAACATCAGCATTGTTCATATATTTCAAGAATTTGTAGGTTAACTGTGCCTTTGCAGTATTACTTCCTTGAAGAAACTTGAGTTTCAAACACTTGGAATTTCAAGGAGTATTTAATCTAGTTTCTTAGATGGAAATGTCATGTTTAATTACTTAATACATTATAAGAAGAGTGTTTTTCATTCTAGAGAAATATTTGGGGAGAACAAATAGATTCCAGAGATGCAAAGGAGATTGCTACTCTAATTTATGAAAAATTGGAGAATCTCCAAAATCATGGAAAGAGAGATAAGGTAAGAACTAAGTCTAGAGCTGACTTTGGTAAACATTAACTAAATTTATTCTTAGTATAAACATGTATGTGTCAGTAAACACATAAAATGAAGCTTAAAAATAGGGAGTTGCAAATTTCTTCTTTGGCAAATAGGACAGTCAGAATGTAGCCTCTTGACACTGAACTGCTTAGAAATTTGGACAAGTAAAACATTTAACAAAAATAAAAGAACGAGGATGTAAAATAATGTCATTAATTAAAAAATTAAAATAAATTGCTGGGAAATAAAAATTTTAAACATTTAACAAAAAATAGTGACTATGGCCATAAATTACTTAAGTTTTATTCTAATGTAAGTAACGTTTTGTTTGAATGTAAGTAAAGCATTGACTCTTTTGGAACTTGTTAACACATTTTGGATAGCAGTTTTTGTTTTGTCTTGCTATAGTCAAGGTATATTAAAACCTGTATTCACCTTGGCCTCTCCTGAAATATTTAATCTATCAAGAAGCATGTAACCTCATTCCTACTATTTTGTAGAGGGCAGTTTTTTCCTTTTTAAAATCAGTGTCATTCTGGTACATATTTAGAAATAGTTCAGAATGCTTTCTTAATGGAATTTAATACAACCATATATGAGGATTCTTGGATTCTTCCCTATAAGGTGGAAAAAATGACAAACAATCTGAGTTTTGGAGAGGGCTAGCAACTGCTGGCTTTATAGAACCCTGTTACAACTGCAAACCCCAGGATAGATGGAAAGAGATAAAGATTTGTAATTATTTTTCTTGGTTTCAGTGAACAAAAATGTTTTTCTGATGTCTTGGCTATGGTAGTTTTCTGTTTTAATTTAAAAATTGTAGCTTATCTCAAGTTTTAAAGGTTTAAAACAAATTATTAGTCAAACCAGAATATCATAACTGAAAGGAAAGGAAATTAAGTAAAAAAACATACCAAAGAATGACTTTGAAAGTACTTTGTAAAACTCTTTTGGTAGTATCTGCCATGGATACATAAAAACTATGAACTATACTTTAACAATGGGGGAAAAGGACATTTCATGTACTGATTCATTATATAATACTGAAAATCATTAACATAAACTCATACTTCTCTTTCAATCACTTTTACATTACTATAGGATGAACTTTAATGATGTTGAAGATGAAGAAAAAATTGAAAAGAAATTCTTAAAAATTATATCAGAGGACGTCTTCAGAAGACAAATGTGAACATTACCTTGGACTTTTTATTGCACTGTCTGAAATCTAAAGGGTCTGCAGACTTTTCTGTTAAGGGCCAGATCATAAATATTTTAGGCTTTGTAGATGATATACGGTTCTTTGTTGCATATTCTGCTTTGGTTTTGTTTTCTTTTCAACGCTATGAAAAATTGAAAAACCATTCTTAGCCCAAGGCCATAGACACATAGGCCACAAGCTAAATTGATTCCATGGGCTATAGATGGCTGAGCCTTGGAAATGTTCTGGCCAGCCAATTCAAACACAAGCCTGTTTTGCAATTTTCTATAGACATGTTGAGGTTATACACTTTATCACTTGAAGTTTTAATGCTTCACCTGGAGATAAGTTTTCAATCACCTATTCCTTTGAAAAATTCTCTGAAAATGATTCTCTAACCATATATTGCATTTAAAAAACAACTCAGTGTGGCAGAATAGATACCCTATTTTTCATATTGTAGTGAAGAGATTTTTCATTTTCTTTCCTTTTTAAAGGTTGAAGAATTGATGTTAATTTCTTAAACTGAACATTTGCAACAGCACATAAACAGATTCCATAGATTTCTACAGCATCCAGAAATACCTAATGGAAAGTATTTATAACTGTTACTTACTAGGCATTGTAGACTATCTCAGATACATCAAGTTGTATATTTTTAGAATATGTGTTCGTTTATTTTCTGAATTACTTTTATAAAAGTTTCCTCTCTGATAGTAATTGATTTTTGAAGCATTTTATAATATTTATTTTTTGCCTTCTGGACTGTTCTGATGTATATCCTTTACATTTAAATAGGAAAAATAAGTTTGCAGGTCAGTTTCACTATAGCTCAAATGACACTGTAGTTATCCCAATTATTAGTTTACTGTCAGTCTTATTTAGATAAACACTGGCATAATGAAGTTATTTTTATAAGAAAATCAAGTATATAAATTTAAGGTTGGGATCTTTGAGTTTCAGTTGTTCAAACTCAGAGAATCCAATTTTTTTTTCTAACAATATGTAGATTCCAGCTGATTAAATGAGATAAATTTTTGAAGACCTCAGTTTTCTCAAAAACCTACTAGGATTATGTATTAAAGTGACAATTATTTTCTTAATACACTTTATCTCCTCCAGTATTCCCTCAAAGATTATTTCAAAGCTAGTTTGTGCAAAAATAGATTTTTGTTTCTAGCACATCATCCTTTAACGCCTTATATTGGATTTTACTTTATACATGTAGGCCCATATGGAACAATCTCAACTTTTAACTATAATTGAACACCACATTTTTTAATTATGATCAGTAATAAAAGTGCCTTTCATTTGTTAAGTTTTCAAGGCCTAGAGAATTTTTAACATTGACTTGTTTCTACAAAATCCCAAGATGGAATGCCTAAATAAGTCTTGGTCAATATAATGTACCAGTTTTGTGAGTACCATTGTGCTAGACACTGAGGAATGTACAAAAGGAATTCACAACATGGTCCCCACAGTTCTGACTAAACCCAGAAACAAGTTTATAGATACCTGTACTACCACCTATAAATACAATTCCAAACTTACTGGTTGAGAAATACCTTAAGCAGTAAAATACTTATCCTGAAACTTGACCTAAGTATGTGCCTGTGGAATCAGCTCTAAAGCCAAGACTACCCAGGAGTCATGTTAAGTATATGTTTCAAATAAGTAGCAGACATTAGCAGTGTGTTTTCTGCAATCATAATCAGTGTCACTGGATATTTCAAAAACAGCTTGCAGTATTTTTAATGGCCACATTCACATTAGTCCATTAGAACTCCAAGGAGTTCCAGGTAAAATATGCTATCTCTCTCAACAACACTATTTTTTTGTGTAGCTGGCCTTGGGTAACAGTACCATCTTTTGCAGATCAGAGTACATTCTATCAGGCAGCTAAGATTAAAAACTGGATACTTTGAGCATGTGACTATAAGAATCCATTTGGAGTTTGTGGTTTTGGCACCAATGATGCTTGCGTATTCCTATTTCCCAAATTTTATTTTACATCACATTTTTATTGAAAGTATATTAAGACAAAGGAAAAATAAAACAGTAATGATTGTATAATAACTTTTTATATTGTCAAAGTTCTTTAAATGTCTTTGTTTTCTGATAATATTCAAAGCAGGAATTTTCTTTGAATTATAGTTTATCAGAAAATTACTGTTTTATGTATAAGACAAAATACTTATAAGAAAAGTTTTTTGTAAGAAGGTAGTATTTTATGGGCCTCCCCAGTGGCGCAGCGGTTGAGCGCTGGGTTGCAAAGCTGCCCGCAGCCTCTGCAACGCCGGTTCGATCCCCGGCTGCTCCCCGGCCACTGGAGGAGGGTCCCACATGGCACACAGACCTCTCCTGCCGCCCGCTGCTCCCCTCAGCAGTGTACTTCAGTCTGCCTGCTCTGCTCCCCGCTCTGGTGAATTCTCTCACCCTCCTGCTCTTCTGACTGTACCCAGTGCTTGTATAAATAAATAAAAATAAATCTTTATTTAAAAAAAAGGTAGTATTTTATGGGCCTCCCCGGTGGCGCAGCGGTTGAGCGCTGGGTTGCGAAGCTGCCTGCGGCCTCTGCGGCACCAGTTCGATCCCCGGCTGCTCCCCGGCCACCGGAGGAGGGTCCCACATGGCGCGCAGACCTCTCCTGCCGCCCGCTGCTCCCCTCAGCAGTGTACTTCGGTCCTTCTGCCTGCTCTGCTCCCCGCTCTGGCTCTGGTGAATTCTCTCACCCTCCCGCGCTTCTGTCTGTACCCAGTGCATGTATAAACAAAACAAACAAACCAGCAAACAAATAAATAAAGCATGCCTCTAAAAAAAAAAAAAAAAAAAAAAAAAAGTAGTATTTTAAAGCCATTTTAACAGAATTTTTATGTAATTAGCCTAGTCTTAGTCCAACAAACTCAGATTAGTGTCTTGAACTGGACAAATTCAGTTCCGCCATGACTGTTAAGAAATATTATAAAAATAGGCAGAAGAGCTAAAAAGAAACTTCTCTGAAGAGGAAATGCAAATGTCCAACAGGCATATGAAAAAATGTTCAACATCACTTGTAATCAGGGAAATGCAAATCAAAACTACCATGAGATACCATCTTACACCAGTGAGAATGGCACATATTAAAAAAACTAGCAACAACAAATGTTGGCGAGGTTGTGGAGAAAAAGGAACTCTCCTGCACTGTTGATGGGAGTGCAAACTGGTCCAACCACTATGGAGAGCTGTGTGGAGATTTCTTAACCTACTAAACATAGAGCTTCCATATGATCCAGCAATTCCACTCCTAGGTATTTACCCAAAGGACACAGAAACATCAATTCCAAAGAGCACCTGCACCCCTATGTTTATAGCAGCACTGTTTACAATAGCTAAGCTTTGGAAACAACCCAAATGCCCAAAAACAGATGACTGGATCAAGAAGATGTGGTACATATATACCATGGAATATTACTCAGCATTCAAAAAAGATAAACACATGCAATTTGCAGCAACATGGATGGCGCTTGAAGGGATCATGCTCAGCGAAATAAGCCAGAAAGAAAAAGAAAAATACCGGATGGTCTCACTCATAGCAGGAATCTAGAAAACTTAAATAAGGGACCAGGAAAATGAATAACTATAAGAAAGTGAAAATCAAAATCAACAAAAAACTATGAACCAGAGACACTTTTTTGGGGATGGGGGGCGGGAGGGGAGGGACTGAGGTCAGAATGGGGGGGTTGCAATTGCATGGGGAATATAAAAATAAAATTTATTATTTAAAAAAAATTAAAATTAAAAATTAAAAAAAGAAAAAGAAAAATATTATAAAGGTTAAATTGACAAAAAGCATTATGAATTCTCTGTACTGATATATACTGGATAAAGTTGATTCTGAAGATGAAAAGAAGTCACTTCCTGGTAATATACTACTTTACATATAAAGCAAAATGCTCAAGTACCCAGAATCTTCTGGTGAATAGCTCATTTTGATTAAGAGTAAAGTTTAGATCAACTATCAAGCTAAGTATAAATACTGATCATATATTAAAATGTTAGTGATTGGCAAGTCTTTTTTTTATTTCACACTAAATTCATGCTTAGTGTCTTACATTGTCATCCAACCCTGGTTAGCAGATGGGTATATTTTATGAGAGGTAACTAGCTGGAATTATGAATATAATATGACATCCTTTTCCCCCCTAACATATACACCTATATCAGTATTGAATTCAGAAATGTGGTGTGTTGATTTGATTACATTATTAGTTTGTCATTTGAGTGCATAACTTAGTCTGCTGTCCTGAAAGTTAGTAATTAAATTCAGAAAGGCCTGTGCTAAAACAACTATTTTTTTTTTAAAAGAAAAGGGTTCCACTACAAGATGGCAACTTGGAAGGCTCCTGAACTCACCTCATTCCTGGAAGCAATGAGCCCATAAAATTGATAGAAGGAAACAGACATGTGTTCCTTGGCATTGACCTTAAATGTGTTTGGGGACTCAACTCCCTACACCAAGGGAGTAGGAGGGGTAGGTGAGAAGCGGGGAGTGGGTCTGTTACTGAGCAGCCCCGATATAAAACAGGTTGCCTGGCTGTGGGTCCTCACCAGCTTGCTTAAAAGGGACTTATTAATACTCTACTACAGGCACACACAAAAGGTTAATAAAAGCTTTGTTTACAAGGGAAAGGGAATTGAGGAAATGTACAACTCAGGGAGAGAATAGGGAAATAGTCTTTAATGCGTCCTACCCAATCTGCTGACCTGAAAACCCAAAGGCACTCTCAGAGCTGGCAGAGAGCCAAAAAAGGGAATTCCCCAAAGCCCACGTGTCTGGTTTTATACCAAACTTGGCTGCTTAACCCAACCCTCAGGTTCCAGCAACATTCCCTTTGGTGGTGATGGGATTTGTAGTTCCCAGTGTCTTTTGGCTTTGGTCTGGAGTAGGGATGGAGTCCACAAAGCCTGTACGGAATTAGCATTAGGACATCCTTTTCCCCCTAACAATTCTACATCAAATTAAAAAGCTACTTCATAGTGAAAGAAATTATCAAAACAGAGACATCCTACTGAATGGGAAAAGATATTTGCACATTACAAGCTTAACAAAGTTAATGCCGGAAACATACTAAGTCATAAAATAACATTAAAAAGAAAAACAACCTGAATAAAAATGGCAGAGAATCTATGACAGACACTTATCCAAAGTAGATACATAAATGGCCATTAGTATCACGAAAAGATGGTCACCACAAGCAATGACATGTCTCACACCTGTGAGAATAGCTGTTCTCCAAAATAGATGAAACAAGTGTTGGGGAGGATGGAGAGAGAGTTGACCCTTATTTACAATGTAAATTGGTACAGCTGTTATGGAAAGTTGTATGGAAATTCCTCAAAAAGTAAAAAATGCAGAAATTCCATCACCCAGTTACCACATTACTGGGTATTAAGGATACCCAAAAACACAAATTCAAAAAGATATATGCACCCAGTCAATGTAAAACATGGTGATTATAGTAATTGATACTGTATTACAGATTTTAAAGTTACTAAGGAATATTCTCACCACAGAAAAAAATGTGAAGCATGTTAACTTACTGTAATTTCATAATACCAAATAATTCACTTAGGGCCTCCCTGGTGGCACAAGGGGTTAAGACACAACCTATGAAGGTGTCCACAGCCACTGCAGCATAAGTTCAATCCCCCAGCCAGCCAGGGAGCAACCCACATGGACAGGCAGACCTCTCCTGACTCACCCGCTGCTCCCCTCAGCAGTGTACAATCTGCCTGTTCTGTTCCCCACTCTGTCTTTGGTGAATCCTCTCATCTCCCCCCACACACACCTCTGGCCTGTACCCCAGCTCTTGTATGCAAAAATAAATCTTTAAAAAAAATTCACTTATCAAATCATTATGATAGGCAGTTTCTTCTACCTCCAGTCCCAATATATACAAATGTCTTCTCTGAGGATAGAGGCCGTGAATTTCTTATGTTCTGCTCTATTTCCAGAACCTGGTGCATAGGTATACAATGTATCTTCTAATTAACAAGCATTGTACCATATTGCTGATGTGCCTTAAAATAAATTTGCCAGTAATTCAACTGTGATAAGATTTTCTAACTAGAAGTTAGTAATTCTATGCCTTAAAAGTTGTAGTCTATGGTCTATAAGTTTAATTAGCAATCTTTATGAAGCTTAGGGAATATTATATACTATGGAAATTTTTGAAAAGCTTATAATTTTTATTGTATACTTAATATAGTGCTACCTAAAAAGAAAGTACCTATTACTTTAAAAGGAACTTTCTCAAACAACTTTTATTAACTATCAATTTTTTCTATATCTATTAAGTCCCTGTGTGATACATTCCTTTAAAAGATTTTAATCAGAGACAGCATCAAGTACCAGTAGATGGCAGTCAAAAATAAGCAGATTTCGGTCCTTCTGCCTGCTCTGCTCCCCGCTCTGGCTCTGGTGAATTCTCTCACCCTCCCGCGCTTCTGACTGTACCCAGTGCATGTATAAACAAAACAAACAAACAAACTAAATAAATAAATAAAAAAAAAAAATAAGCAGAGACGGTAGGTTTTTATTCTTAGAAAATGCTGTTACTACCTCAGTACTGAATGAGAATTCACAAAGTCTAATTTGCCTTTGTTTTCCGCTAAAACAATTCCTAGATACCATTTGCGTACGTTTGACTATGAGAAATTACAAAGAAACACTGTATTTTGTATCTGAAAGTTTATAATCTAGTTTAGCAAATAAGACAAATACATGAATGTGTGAATGACATGAAAGGATAAATCCATGAAGTTCACATAGGCACATACACTGCTGAAGACGTGAACTCATGATGAGGTTCAACTGATCCCCACTGTGAAAACTGTGCCTAGATAGCTAAGTGTATAGATGCATTAATTTTAAGGACCTACAAAACATATATAAAATTGTACTGAAAATACCTTTATTTGCTTTTGTTCAACCATTTCCTCCGGATTTTGGAGTTTTAGTGCTATTTCAATTTATGAAGTAGGAAGCCCACTCTTTGAACAACAGACTTCATCAGATAACCATGCAGGAAAACAAGAATTTGTTAAATATACATGAAGACAACAAAAATCAAGAATATGAGAAATTTCATAGGATAAATGACATGGTGTCTTTTTTTTAAGAAAGTTTTTTTTTTAAGATTTATTTATTTATTTATACAAGCACTGGGTACAGTCAGAAGCGCGGGAGGGTGAGAAGATTCACAGGAGACAGAGCGGGGAACAGAACAGGCAGACTGACGAAGAAGTACACTGCTGAAGGGAGCAGCGGGCGTGGCAGGAGAGGTCTGTCGTGCCATGTGGGACCCTCGCCAATGGCCAGGTATCGAACCGGCGCTGCAGAGGCTACGGGCAGCTTCGCAGCCCAGTGCTCAACTGCTGCGCCAACAGGGAGGCCCTGACATGGTGTCTTAATGAAAAAAATGATCGGGGGAA